TTTTAGGTAAGCATGTTCTCCCTAGCTAAATCACTCTGGAAACTTCAATTGCAAACGGTATTTTACATTTGGTTGTCTTGAGTTGCTTTGCGATGTTCAGCAGTTATGTTTCACTCCAAGATTGGTGTTAAAATGATCCTGGGACACCATCTGTAGCTAAACTGGGCAAACAATGAAAGGATACATTACTGTTACTCTATTAAGGGGTTACACCTGTAAGTGGGTGATGGGACAGAGTGTCAGTGTTCAATTTGCTAACTACTCACTGAAGTAATTCTAGGAGCAAGGTAGTATAGCACCTTAAATTCGGCTGGAGCTATCTGGAGTGGTGCTGCAGTAAATATTTTCAACCCCCTGAAGTTTTTACAATATGTTGGGAGAGGAGGCTGTGGGGGGCTCTGGGAAATACTCTAAGAATTTAAGCCCTATACTTCTGTAAAATGCTTAAAGGGGAGAGAGGTGAAGACTAGTGTTTGGGGCACAGGTCTGGGAATTTGGACCTATTGAGTGCTGATTCTGGCTCTAACAATAGTTCACTATGTGGTTTTAAGAAAATTGTCATTTTGCCTCAATTACCTGGTCTGTCAAAGGGGATAATACCACTTGCCTGCATCTCAGGGCTATTTTGAGAATGTTAGTTAATCTTTGCAAAGCATTTTGAACATGTAAAATGCTATATTAGTTTTAATTAAGGTATTTACTGTGGATTATAATCCCTAAAAGATTTTTGCACTGAATTATATTACCTGCTACTGCAATCTTTAACCAGCAATACCATTGTTATTCCTATTAGCAGCCCTCACAGCTTACTTTATATAAGGCTTCAGAGTAACAGCCATGTTAGTCTGTATTCGCAAAAAGAAAAGGAGTACTTGTGGCACCTTAGAGACTAACCAATTTATTTGAGCATAAGCTTTCGTGAGCTACAGCTCACTTCATTGGATGCATACTGTGGAAAGTGTAGAAGATCTTTTTATATACACACAAAGCATGAAAAATACCTCCTCCCACCCCACTCTCCTGCTGCTAATAGCTTATCTAAAGTGATCACTCTCCTTACAATGTGTAAGATAATCAAGGTGGGCCATTTCCAGCACAAATCCAGGGTTTAACAAGAACATCTGGGGGGGGGGGAGGGTAGGAAAAAACAAGGGGAAATAGGTTACCTTGCATAATGACTTAACCACTCCCAGTCTCTATTCAAGCCTAAGTTAATTGTATCCAATTTGCAAATGAATTCCAATACAACAGTCTCTTGCTGGAGTCTGGTTTTGAAGTTTTTTTGTTGTAATATCGCAACTTTCATGTCTGTAATCGCGTGACCAGAGAGATTGAAGTGTTCTCCAACTGGTTTACGAATGTTATAATTCTTGACATCTGATTTGTGTCCATTTATTCTTTTACGGAGAGACTGTCCAGTTTGACCAATGTACATGGCAGAGGGGCATTGCTGGCACATGATGGCATATATCACATTGGTGGATGTGCAGGTGAACGAGCCGCTGATAGTGTGGCTGATGTTATTAGGCCCTGTGATGGTGTTCCCTGAATAGATATGTGGGCACAGTTGGCAACGGGCTTTGTTGCAAGGATAGGTTCCTGGGCTAGTGGTTCTGTTGTGTGGTAGTTTCCTCCGGAAGTCAGTGGTGTCTCCAACACCACTTTCTACAAGCCATTACCCTCTGATCCCACTGAGAGTTACCAAAAGAAACTACAGCATTTGCTCAAGAAACTCCCTGAAAAAGCACAAGATCAAATCCGCACAGACACACCCCTGGAACTCCGACCTGGGATATTCTATCTACTACCCAAGATCCATAAACCTGGAAATCCTGGGCGCCCCATCATCTCAGGCATTGGCACCCTGACAGCAGGATTGTCTGGCTCTGTAGACTCCCTCCTCAGGCCCTACGCTACCAGCACTCCCAGCTACCTTCGAGACACCACTGACTTCCTGAGGAAACTACAATCCATCGGTGATCTTCCTGATAACACCAACCTGGCCACTATGGATGTAGAAGCCCTCTACACCAACATTCCACACAAAGATGGACTACAAGCCGTCAAGAACACTATCCCCGATAATGTCACAGCTAACCTGGTGGCTGAACTTTGTGACTTTGTCCTCACCCATAACTATTTCACATTTGGGGACAATGTATACCTTCAGATCAGCGGCACTGCTATGGGTACCCGCATGGCCCCACAGTATGCCAACATTTTTATGGCTGACTTAGAACAACGCTTCCTCAGCTCTCGTCCCCTAACGCCCCTACTCTACTTGCGCGATATTGATGACATCTTCATCATCTGGACCCATGGAAAAGAAGCCCTTGAGGAATTCCACCATGATTTCAACAATTGCCATCCCACCATCAACCTCAGCCTGGTCCAGTCCACACAAGAGATTCACTTCCTGGACACTACAGTGCTAATAAATGATGGTCACATAAACACCACCCTATACCGGAAATCTACTGACCGCTATTCCTACCTACATGCCTCCAGCTTTCACCCTGACCACACCACACGATCCATCGTCTACAGCCAAGCTCTGCGATACAACCGCATTTGCTCCAACCCCTCAGACAGAGACAAACACCTACAAGATCTCTATCAAGCATTCTTACAACTACAATACCCACCTGCGGAAGTGAAGAAACAGATTGACAGAGTCAGAAGAGTCCCCAGAAGTCACCTACTACAGGACAGGCCTAACAAAGAAAATAACAGAACGCCACTAGCCGTCACCTTCAGCCCCCAACTAAAACCCCTCCAATGCATTATTAAGGATCTACAACCTATCCTGAAGGATGACCCAACACTCTCACAAATCTTGGGAGACAGGCTAGTCCTTGCCTACAGACAGCCCCCCCAACCTGAAGTGAATACTCACCAGCAACCACATACCACACAACAGAACCACTAACCCAGGAACCTATCCTTGCAACAAAGCCCGTTGCCAACTGTGCCCACATATCTCTTCAGGGGACACCATCACAGGGCCTAATAACATCAGCCACACTATCAGAGGCTCGTTCACCTGCACATCCACCAATGTGGTATATGCCATCATGTGCCAGCAATGCCCCTCTGCCATGTACATTGGTCAAACTGGACAGTCTCTCCGTAAAAGAATAAATGGACACAAATCAGATGTCAAGAATTATAACACTTCAATCTCTCTGGTCACGCGATTACAGACATGAAAGTTGCGATATTACAACAAAAAAACTTCAAAACCAGACTCCAGCAAGAGACTGTTGTATTGGAATTCATTTGCAAATTGGATACAATTAACTTAGGCTTGAATAGAGACTGGGAGTGGCTAAGTCATTATGCAAGGTAACCTATTTCCCCTTGTTTTTTCCTACCCCCCCCCCCAGATGTTCTTGTTAAACCCTGGATTTGTGCTGGAAATGGCCCACCTTGATTATCTTACACATTGTAAGGAGAGTGATCACTTTAGATAAGCTATTAGCAGCAGGAGAGTGGGGTGGGAGGAGGTATTTTTTTCATGCTTTGTGTGTATATAAAAAGATCTTCTACACTTTCCACAGTATGCATCCAATGAAGTGAGCTGTAGCTCACGAAAGCTTATGCTCAAATAAATTGGTTAGTCTCTAAGGTGCCATAAGTACTCCTTTTCAGCTTACTTTATGTGCCACAACCTTTATCTGGTCTCATTCACACTGGTTTGATATTGCTGGGGAGTCCATCTAGGTTTGTGCAAACAAAACATGTAGGATGTTGGTGGGGACGCCCTTTAAATAAATAACTATATGGATTTTGCAAAGAAACTTGTCCTGCTACACTTATCATGCTCATTTACCAATCTTAAGGTGTGGGGTTTTTTACAAGCTGATTTTCATGCAGTGCTAGCAGCAAGGCCATCCCCGGGGGTGGAGGGTGCAGACTCCAGGGCAGAAGTGACAAATCCATCACTGCTGGCACTGACCTACCACTGCCAGGACCGACGTGCTGGCCCCTGGGGCCCCCCAAAGTGTGGGGCCTGGAGCGGTTGCCCTGATTCGCTGTACCCCAGGGACAACTCTGGCCAGCAGGGAACCTGATTGAGTGAGTGGGGCTCACACAGGGGAATCAAGTTTCCTGTGTGAACGGGCTTGTTGGAATATAACCCTGGGCTGGTCCCTGTTAGGTCAAACTGGCCTTCAGTTTAGATTTTATAGGGCGAGGTTTATTTTTAAACTTCAGACCAAAACAAATATCTCCGTGCAGTTTTGTATGCAGTGTAGTTGTACAGAAGATTAGAGAGACAACATGGGTTAGGAATTTTCTCTTATTGGACCAACTTCTACTGCTGCAGAGAGAGAAACTGGGGGTACTGGTCCCTTATAATAATGCTAACTACTTAAGCTAAACAATCTGGTTTCAGAGTAGCAGCCGTGTTAGTCTGTATCCGCAAAAAGAAAAGGAGGACTTGTGGCACCTTAGCGACTAACAAATTTATTTGAGCATGAGCTTTCTGAGCTTACTTCAGGGGATGCAACTGATCAACTGTTCCACCTTAGAGTTAGCTATGAAGCTCGGTGTGTCTTTCCCACACCTGAAGAAGAACTCTGTGGGGCTCCCAAAGCTTGTCTCTCTCACCCCCCAGAAGTTGGTCCAATAACAGATCTAGCCTCACCCACCCCGTCGCTCCATGCCGTTTTAAAGAGGAGCAGGCTCCAAGCAAGGGCAAACCGCTTCTGCTGCCGTGTTTGCAAAGTCAGATCTAGGGTAGTGCCTGGGAACAGGAAAGAGAAAGTGACCACACAGACGCAGGGGAAACTGCGAGCTCCCAACTAGGGGAGCGCCTTCCTAGGGGCTTCCGCGCTTGATTACCTGGCGCGGTGGCCACGTGAGTGAGGAACTGTGTAATGATTTCTAGGCTTTCAGCCACGCTAGCTGTAGCTCTGTGGGTTAATTCGCAACGTGTCCCCTGCAGCAGTGGGGTTAGTCGGCCCGTAGGAGTGGAGCACTACGGACGGGAAGGCGGCCAGTGCCCTGCACGTGGAGCTGGGGGAAGGCGGGCCGGGGGCGCTGGGCGGGGCTGCCCCCCAGTCCGGCGAGGGGGCGATGGTTCCGCCTTCCTCCGGCAGCTCTGCGGGTGGCCGGCCAGAGGCGGGCCTGACTCGGCGCGCGGGGGCTCCAGCCTCCGCTGCCCCGGGAGCTCTCGCTGCAGAGGGAGGCTGGGGAGTTTCCGCTCGGACCCGAGCTCCGGAGAGCCCGTGACCTCCGGGCGGCTCGCAGCTCGCCTTGCGGTAAGGGCCCCCCGCCGCAGGAGGCGGGTATGGGGGCTGCTGGCTGCGTTTGCCCGGGGAGGGAGCGAGAGACACTTTCGCAGCTCAGGTGACTGTGACTCTGCGCGGTTATCCATGAAACGCGCTCGGTTCTTCCCCACCGGGCTGCCTAAACCTGGGCTCTGCTCGCAGCCAAATTACCCCGTCTCTGCCTCCTGCCGCTGGCTCGCCATGGGGCCAGGGTGTGCCCGGAGCTCTGGGTCGGCTCGGACGCGGTTCCGATCTCTCTTTCTTCCCCCATAGAAAACCTCTCTTGATCTCTCGAGAGCCAGGGTGGTTCTGTCTGTGGTACCAAAGGATGCGGGGCTGAAATGTCAGCGCTCCTATAATGCAAAGTCAGTCCCTTTGCAAGGCTGGAATGAGGGTTTCTTGTCGAGGTTTAAACTAACTTTTTCTTCCTTCTTGTCTTAAAAGTTCATTCACATCCGTTTATTTTAAATCTCTTTGTGGTGTTGGCTTTCACGAGCTGCCCTTGAACTTCTAGGTCCTGATCCAAAGCTCACTTGAGGTCATTGGGGAGAAACTTCCACTGACTTCAGTGGGTTTTTGGATGAGCTGTATAGTAACTTATTTTAGTGTGTTCCTCTTTTATCGGTGAATGAAGGCATGCAGAGAGTACCTCAGAAACGAGACAATTGATCAAAGTCTTGATGTGAACTTACTACTTAATCATTCAAGGAGCCAGAAGGTATTTTCACATAACCGGTGTTGTATAATACTATAGATCACTTGGCCACTTTTGAGTTCAGTTTTGTTCAGTGTATACAAATGATGTATATCCTTGTCATTTTAAATGTAACTAATTTTTTATTATGTATTTTAGTGGCACTCAAGTGGCAACTCAGCAATGAAAAACGCTTCAAAAAAATCTTCACAGGAATAAAAGAGGAAATGAGCTCTTTTAGTGAGTTTGGGGTAGGGGAGAGAAGGAGAACAGAAGGAAAACTTGTTGTTTTGGGGGGTTTTAAGGGACATCAATGTGTTATGTACAAATTATGTCATTAAGAAGTTAAAGGAACTCTGTAGCTAGGTTACTTTATTCTGTGACAAGTGAGCTAAGTGAAAAGGTACAAACCTCCTACCTTTCCACTGATGGACTTTTTTTGGGGGGAGGGGGGGCAATATTGTTGAACAGCAGAAACTTAGAATTCAGGACATGGATTCAAAAATAAAAGGTAGTGTTACCTGTATAGTTTTTTGGGTAGCAAAGTGAGTGAGTGGGGCAAAAAGCAAGTCATCTTGGCATTCTAATACCACTTTGATTCACTGCAATCAATAAACAAGAACCCCTATTTGAATGTAGAGAAATTATGAAAAGATTTTGCTTTTTGTCTGTCTAGTTATACGCACAAACACCAATCCTGCAAATGTTTGAACATGTTTTTGACTTCACGCATGGTAATCCCATTGCCTAAAATTAAGCATTTGTATAAGTATTTGCAGGATTGGAGCCTCAGGTGTTTTTAAGCAAGCCTGTGTCTTTATTACTGCTCTACCTCCCATGTTCCCTCCCATTGTTTATTACACTTCCTTGTGTCTTGCCATAAATTTAACTGTAAGATCTTCAAGGCAGAGATTAAGCTGTTTTATGATTATTTACAGCATCTACCCAATTCCCCCAATCATGATTGAAGAAGGAAGTACAGCTTTCTATGCTTATTACTGCCCCTCTTCCTTTACATAGTCCCTGTAGAGGAAAAATAAAAATCTCACGAAATGAGACAAATAATTTTCTCTCCTGAAGTGATTTTTTTGTTTGTTTACTGCTTAATTAATACGAATGCCTTCTATATGAAGCATTTAAGGGGTAGGTGCCATAATAAACTGAGACTGCAAAATCATATCCCAAGACAGGGTAAATAGGAGCACATGGTTTACCTTCTGTATACCATTCATCCTATACAATATATGGCGTGGTTTAAAGTGCATTAAAAACAAGGCATAATTGCTATAACAGTATTAAGGTTTACATTGTAATAAGGGGAAGTGAAATAGAAAAATGCTAAATACATGAGCAAGTGGGCTGAGCTGAGCTTGCTCTGGTAATGCTTGTATTTAGAATTTCCTGAGTGTTCTTGAAGCCTTAATATTTTTCAAGCTGTAGGGATTGGAGGGGTTTTGTGTGTGTGTGTGGTTTTTTTGTTTTGTTTTTTAGCTCTACTCTTTGAAGTGACTTGGAATTGAAGATCCACTTTTGTTTCAAATTCCACATCAAATGTGGAACTTTACAACTAAAGATTTTTTTTCCCTTCATCCTGAGCTCTATGAACATTATGTTGGCTTCCTTACTCACAATATAATATTGCCGGTAATAAGGGTTCTGAAAGCCAAATGATGCCTTCAGTTACATTTGGGCATGGCTGTATTACAACTGGCGTTATGTTGGCTTCCTTACTCACAATATAATATTGCCGGTAATAAGGGTTCTGAAAGCCAAATGATGCCTTCAGTTACATTTGGGCATGGCTGTATTACAACTGGTCTAGCAATTTGAAGAACTGTTGAGATGTCTGCTTTCCTCTCCATCCCCTCATACTTCTCTCTCCACTGGGTTCCCGTGCAATCAAAATGGCTGCCAGGTACCTGTTCTATTTGACTGCCTATTAGTTCAATGCCTCTAATTAGCAGTTGTGGGCCCCCCCCTCCCCAAAAAATCCTGATCTTAGAGAGAAATGTATGCCTGCAACTGAATTGATACCTTGGAGCTAAAGAGACTCCACAGAACACAAAAAGGAGAATGAGCATGGAAGGTGAGAAACTTAAGCCTAAATCATCCAATATGTCAAAGAAATCCTCTAAATTCCACACTTTTATATTCCAGGAGAAGTAAGTGATACAAGTCCAATGGCTGAATGTTGAACCAGAAATAAGGTGCAAATTTCGAACAATGAGGGTAATTAACACCAAGTGTCATGGTGGATTCTCTATCATTGGAAACTTTAAAATCAAGATTGGCTCTTTTAGAAAGAGATGCTCTTATTGAACTTGAAGCAGTAACTAATTCAGGGCATTACTTTATGTATTACTGTTATACATGAGGCCAGACTAGATGATGATCTATGAACCCCTTAAAATTTGAATCCTTAAGCCGGAACCTTTTTTATTTTTATTTTTTATTTTTTAAAAGCCCAGTCTACAGTAGGGAAACTTTCTAAAACTCTTCCGCCATTGCTAACATTGATTGAAGGCATTGTCAATTAAACTCTGTCTTGGTGGGACAACTTGGTAAGAATTTTTGGAAAATTTCTCTAGCATACTTAGAGCTGCACAGTTCAGATCGGAAAGTTTTATTTCAAATGTATTCCATTTGTCCTTATACTGAACATTTAGTTCTCAGCCTTCTTTCACCTGAGCCCCCAAACTAGACATGATTTCTTGCTGGAGCCCACCCATCTCACAGTCCTCTGACTGCAAAGGGTTGTAAGTTAGATACGGGCATGAGCATTGATTGGCTGAGTGTGCTGAGGCTGCAGGGAGAATGGTGAATAGGTTGTACTCGGAGTGAGGTGTGGATGGATGTCTTATTTGGTAAGCATGGGTTTGTTTCCCCCCACCCACCCCTTCCAACCAAACAGTCAGCAGTAAGGCTGCACCACTTCAGATGGAAGCTGTGGCATTAGCTCATGTACTAGAGATTTTCAGTCTTGCAACTTGCACAGTGTTTTGGGTTTTTTTTTTTAAATCAGGTATCCTGTTTTGCTTACCCACCGCGCACTATGTCCACATGCAGCACTTGCTGCAAACTTTGCAGTGTCTGTGGGCTATTGCATCTATCCCAGAGTGCTCAGCTACGTTCTGGGAGCAGGAAAATGGCAATGGTGAATAGTGCACATGTTCACAATTTTGATTTGTTCCAATGACTGATAAGAATAGCTCTGTCCAGTATGAGGAACCACATGTGTTATGAAGGGCTAGGGCTATGACCTTCCACTTGAAGTTGCTATGATAGAGTGTCAGCACCTTCCTCCCACCTGTGTTCCTGGAAGTCTGGCGTACGACCTTTTTGAGTTTCCATAGTTGAAAAGGTGAGGAGCTGGATTTTTCTTTGTCCTTTTAATTGCTTCGGTAACTTTTTATGTTTCTTGTTGCTGAACTAATAACTTTTTAACTCCTTGTTTCTAGGATACAGCGAAGGAAATAGGCTGGAAACATCCATCCATGGAGCCCAGAAAGTTCTCTCAGCATGCCACAGCACTACAGTGGAGTCACTAAGACACACACTGTTCTTTGGGGAAGGCTAGGGAAAAATGAGCGTGTGCTGGAGGACTGTGGAGAGGTAAGTGGCTTCATCTATGGTATGAGGGGTTGTGATAGCTCTACTATGTATCTTTCAAGTAATGACCCTGTTCTGTTTTCTGTTTATAGGTGTGTGTGAGGAACCACTGAGGTAGTGGGTTGACATCTGTGGCAACGACCAGTAAAATAAATGCACAGGAGGGGATTGTCTCAGTGTCTGTGTCCACCTCTAACAGTTAATCTTGGTCCTTTTCTGTCTTTCAGGAGAATACCAAGGAGAAAGGGGATGGGAGGAGACAGTGTTGCCAAACTTCTATAGTTTACTATTTAAGTTTCTTTTACTCTGTGTTGACTTTGATTTTTGGGGTTGTGATGTGGCAGTTATAGGGAGGTGTGAAAGTAGGAGTTACTCAGCTCCTCTGTGCTCTGGCTACCACCAGATTTTCATGTGGACTTGCATGCTAGGAATCAAAAATCAAAAAAGTGATATGAGTGTCAGATATCTCTAGTGCAGACAGAACTGGGAAGTGTCATGTAGCTCCAGGACAAGAGTTTTGCTTGTGGGGAAGGGAAAGGGTGAGGACTGAATGAAGTGGGATTACTTAGAAGTTGTGGCAGAGGCATCAGGAGCTGCTTTTCCTCATTTCTGCTGGGTCCTGGTGCCCAGAGTATTTTACCAGGTGATGCTTATCTTGCAATGGGATGTACCTCTCTGGATTACACCTAAAATCTGAAGGGAGGAAAAATAAAATGACTGTATGTTAATGGTGTGGGAGGTTTCTTAAATATGACGATGTTACCAAATACTATAGC